TCAATTTAGAGAGAAAGTCTTAGAAGAGACAGCTAATCTAATCGATAATCAGTTGATTAAAGTAAACATTCCAGAAAATGGGTAAATTACTCATGCGGATTTATTGGTATTACAAAAGAAAGCTGTAGAATATCATAAAGAATAGAAGAAATAAGAGATATTATAATAATAATTAGATAAATGTCCATTCAAACCATAATTAATGAGTAATAGCAATGGCAGTTGTTAAAATATAGATGAAAGAAAAAGTTAGTCAAAGAAATCAGAAAAATATTTGCAATTGTATTCTTTGGCTAAGCCTACTACATAAAAAAGAGACAGAACAACTGAGGAAATAGAATATGAAAGATAATAGGAAGAATGCACTTTCTAACCTGGTCTAATAAACAAAGGAAGTCAATAATAGAAATAAGAGAGTCATTTTGTAAATAAAGATGTAGATAAGACAGTATAAAGGATGAGATAAGCCAGACAAAGAAGAGAGGAAGTATAAGGAATGTTGGAGAGAGGATATAAGAGTAACAAACCAGTTTAATAGTAATAGCAATCGAACTAATAGACCAAGGTAAGTAGAAGCTAATCTTAGAATCAGTTGAAACAAACAACATAATCATCAAGATAGAAAAGTCTACAATCTTAAGAATCACAATAAATGAATACTTATTAATCATAGAATTTTCATATGGATGAATCTTAGCCCAAAGATGAATAGAGCGTTGGTAGATCTGGCAGTTGTAAGACATTAATCTTAATTATTATTAGAGTAAGATGAAAGGATACCTTTGTTATTTGTTGATGTAAATCTGGGACCAAACAAAACTGAGAGAATTGTTGTATATGAAGGTGATTAATCTTGTGATCTGGCTGCTCGTTTTGCTCAAGAACACAATTTGGATGAGTTTATGCAAGAGAAGTTAAAAGAATTACTAGACTATCAAATAAGCGGATTGCTTACTAAAATTGATGAAGAAGAGGGAGCATTAAGTGATAATGATTAATGATATATATATATACTAAAAATATCATTCTTATTATTATCGAAGTGATAATTTGCTAGATTCTTATGATCTCAGCTCTAATTCTCTCTCTTTTTGCTATTACCATTTAATATATTATTAATCATTTTTCAAATCTTCAATTCCTTACTTAGTCCACTAATAGACCAAATTATTGTAAATATTTGGCTAATACTGAGAATGTGTCATGTCATATTTCTCCTAATTTTCAAGTCTTTCCAAATCTCTACAATATCAAATATGATTACCTAAGACTGAGAAAGAAGAATAATAAAATTATTGGAAACAACAAATAAATCGAGATGAGTATCCTTTGATCATAGAAATTCCCTATATATGATGTGAATGATTCGCCAATCGAATACACTTATTCCATTTACTGTTGTTATTTAAATTAATAATCACATAAATTATTGTCATATTATTTTCATTAAAAATTATTTAATAGGAGAAATGATATGTGATTCAATCGAGAACTAATTATGATTCATCCCTTCAAATAATTCTATATGAACAAGTCCTTAACATTCCTTCATCAACTCAATTGAGTGCTAATAATTAACCAAATTGTCATCCTTTCCATGTATGAAAAGAGTTGGACAAACTACTTTATGCATCTTCTCCAAATTCCTAAATCGTTCCTTCACTAACTTAGATAACCAAAAGAAACTGTTCTCCTTAATTACATCACAAATTGACGTGAATGCACTCAATAGAATAAGAGATCTAATCTTTCGATATCGTATACTCATCTCTATCGCTATGCTGCATCCAATAGATCTTCCTATAATTATAATCTTCTCTTCCTAAACCTTCAAAACCTTCATTATATGTTCCATAACCTAATAACCATCTTTTACCATTGTATCGCTACTACAAATTCCTTTATAAATGCCATAGCCTGGATATTCAATAGAAATAGAGGCCATCTAATTACAGAGACCAATTTTATACATCCAAATCTATCCCTAGAAGAAATGCTAAAGATTTACACATTCCAAGATCCTCTGCGTTGGCATGAAAAAATACGACAATGCCCTTGTTTAACTTCTACTCTAATTATAATAATGTGACTATCCTTCTTCTTTTTGTTACCTTGTGATGGGGTTAATTCTGACCAATCGTCACTTTTATGGTCCCATTTTATATTTTCAGTCATTACTATTTTTGACTGATTAACCACAGATTTGTTCATCAATGTAATATAATCCACCCAAAGTCTCATTATAACTTGGTTTTGGAGAAGGAAAGATCAAATCGTTAAAATCCATTATAATTATTAATATCATGAATCATAGGTCAATACGGCCATCCAGTGCCTAACAAAATGTATCCCATATAAGTGATAAGAATGTATCCTTTCATAAGAAGTACTATAATTCGTTTACTCTTAGTCCTTACAAGTAGCCAAATGTATAGAACGTTTCATCATACAAGGCCAAGGAGAGCGAAAAATTGTTTGAAGAGAGCCTCTAACTGAAGCTGTTAATGAACTAATTGAAAGATGAAAATATTAAGCTAAGAACCAGAAACACTAACTTAGAAGTACTATTGCAATCATCATCTAGAAAGACTTATAAAAATGTTAAAAAATTATAGAAGAAGTAGAAACTACTGGAAATATGAAAAGATTTTATGCTAAACCAAGCACTGATAATTAAATGATTCTGAGTTTCAAAGGTTAAATTAAAGAATTGCGATAAAACCTTGATTAAAGAGAATAGGAAATGTTAGCACTTAAAAAGACAGCTAAGTATACTAAACTTACAGAAATGGAAATTGAACGTAAAATGCTATAAGATGAAACCATTCGATTAAAATAAGTTATTGATGAACTGATACAATAAAATTTATATGCTTAATAAAAAGAGCATGATTAATAAAAATTATAGGATATGATTTCGCAAAGAGATAATCTTATCAAATAAATGCAGTAAGATATTGAATCATTCGAATCAGATAACTAAAACCTTTAATCGCAATTATAAAAGCTCATATCTGCCTATCAAGATCTTGATAAAGAATACACAAAACTTAATCAAACAATGTAGACTAAAATAAAATAAAAGGATAAGTAAGTAGTAGAACTCAAAACCTAACTTACAAGATTAAAAGAACAGTATGAAAAAGAAAAGAAATTGTTATAATAACCTAAATTTAGTCCAACCCTTAAAACACACAATAAAGTAACAAACCGTATTTAGAGTGCTAAACCACCTGAACAAATTACAAAGCCGATTCAATTTGATGAAGTAACTTCTATCATAGAGGAAATTAAATATAAATTAATCGCTTTATCACTACATTCAAAATAAATCGATACTTTACTACTCAATTAATCAACATAATAAACTACAATAGGATAGTTAACTGATAAACTAATAAATGATCCATTATTCCTCAATAAAAATGATGCTAACAATTTTGCTCGATTTTTAATAGAATCTCCACAATAAAGGTACCCATACACTCCCAATTTATCCATTGCCTAAGATAACGGATTGATAAGAGGTATGTTTTTTAAAGCCATTGGATTTTGGCCTTGTTATGATTAAGTTGAAAAGAGAGTAGTAGAATTGTGCTTAGCTAAACTATTCTAAGGATCTCTCATTCAAGTAGAAAAAGTTATGGGCAAAAATGTTTATAAAAAAAAGGATTTTATAACTTAAATTTAAAAAATTCTGCAAAAAAAGTAGATCAGAGAATTGGAACTCACTTATTTAATTTCGAAAGTAATTCTAATTTGTATGATTAGATCATATTGTAATCAAAGAGTCTCAATACTTTAAAAGGAGATGTTTTTGTAAAATACTTAAGAGAATTGGAAAAGTTAGAAAATGAGGAAGATATTCGAGCTGAGGATCTCTAGTAATATTACGACAGTTTAGGGTAATTTCAATAATTCATAAATTTAGATAAGATAAAGGATTCTTTTTTTATAAGTAATTAAGAAGCAAGTAGGAATAAATGATAGCACTATTGGAGACTAAGGAAGACAAGGTTGAGGAAATAGATATTAATTAATTGAATGATGGGATTCCATAGAAGTCAGTTTAATAATACATATTAAAAGGAGGATTAGTAAGGAGTCATTCTGATCCAGATCCTTTATAATTAATTCTAATTTAAAAGAATGAGGAAGAAGAGGAAGAAGAAGAGAATTATGAATAATAGTAATAAAAACATTACTAAAATCAATAACAATATGAAAAAAAACATTATCCTTATAATTTTGATGAAGAAGATGGTGAATATGAAAATAATGAGGAATAGAATGACGATTATTAGCTTGATTTAAACAATGCTCAGATTGAAGAGTAAGATTAATATTAGGAAGAAGATGATGATTACAATATAAATGTTGATGGAGTCTTTGAGGAAGATAATGATGATGAAAATGATTAATGGGAGAGAGTTGAAAATAAAGGCAATTTTCCAGTTCGATAAGAGTAAATATTGAATTTATAGGAAGTCGATAAATACCAAATAGTAGGCCAACATCCAGTTATGTAAATAAAGTTAACAGAAGTAATAGTGATGTCAAGGCTAGTTTGGCCTCAGAATTGCATCCTACTAAAGAAATAAATGAAGAAGGTATGGCTGATATTAATTATATCTTTAGAATATATGGAGGAATAATTTGAAGAAGAAAATTGATATATAAATTTTATATAAATTAAAATATGAAACGAACAAAGGAAACCATTTTTAGAGAGCATCCTGATTGGTAATAAAGATAAGGTGTTAGTGGTCTGAAAGAATTTGATGGAGAAGATTTATGTAATCCTTAAGCATTATGGTGTAGAATTTGATTCTCGTAATAAATTCAATAAGGATCAATAAAAACAATGGATATTTGAATAAATTGAAGAGAAAAAAAGAAGATAAGAATAAGAAAAAGCTGAGGAAATGGCTTACGCTTAATAAACATTAGAAATTAATAGATTTAGAGGAATGCTATAAGATAACTTTGCATCTAGGAAAACTGATATGGGTGTTGCCACAAAACAAACCAATCTCTAATTAGTAATCATACAATTTAATAAAAGGCTAAAGAGAAAAAAGATAAAGAAGAAAGAGAAAAATAAGAAAAATTGGCTGCAGAACGTGCTGAAAGAGATTTATTACTTGAACGTGGTAGAAAGTAACCATATAATGGATGATCATTATTTAATATGTTTCATCTTTTTAAGCATCATTACTTATAATAATAGTTAAATGTTTAATGAAATTGAATGCTTTAATCTAATATTAAGGAAATCCTCAGTATTTTAATTTCAATTTTCATATTTTTAAATTATTTAATAGATAATATCATGATTTACATATAATAGTTTTTATTTAGATTGATATTATCATCCATTATTATTGCCTATCTTATTCTTTTGTTCAAGTTCTAAAGTAATTAAAATTATTACCAATTATTTGTTATTTGTATTCTAGATTAATTATTATAAACATTTATTGCTGAGAAAACTAAATTAATAAAATTCTAAATATCATTTTTATCAATTATTTGATAAAATTAAAAATCCGGTATTTCATCTTTAGAATTTAGATTCTTTCATCAAAAATAGATTATGTTTTGAAATAATTTTATATCTTATTTGTTCGATAATTTTAGTCATCAGAAATGTATTTATATAGGTATTCAATATTTCTTTTAATACTTATAACAAGGTTTAGAATGTTTAATATCCAATACTTATCATCAATTTTCATAAACTATCCCTTATAATCATTCATTGTCTCTAAAAACTTTTTACTACTAAAAGTAATTATTTAACAAATAATTGTCATGTCCAAAGAGCCTAAACAGGGCCTCAACAATTTGATAAATATAGCACATCCCTTGAAGGGGAACAACCCAGAGAATGTAGATAGGGTTAATAGCATAATTTAAGAATAATAATAAATAAATGTCGATAAGATAAGAACTTGGAAATATTGTTTTTGATTTCTTAACCATCAAGAAAGGAATCAAATGGTTGATATTTGGCTTTACAAAAAAGCATATTTTAGTCCAAGAGAATATCTGGAAGACCTTATGAAGGTGCATGGAATCCATTAATAGAAAGACATGAAAAAATACCCAAATGTAAATCTTAAGCCCCTTTAATAATCTAACCTATATGAAGGGAAGACGTATCAACTATTTAAATTTATTTTAATTAAGATTCTATACGTCATCAGAAATAATCAAGAATGCGCATTCAGATTTTATGCAGATACTCAGCTTGAAATAACTCTCTGCGTTATTTCACGAAATATTTATCTGCCATGTTGAAATATGAAGTGAGAATGAATTTCCATAGAAGACCCTAATCCTAATTAACAGACCCCAAGAGGCAGAGAAGCAAATCTTTGTTCTTATTGATGAAGACTTTCAATTATATCACGATTGGATAAATGATCCACAATCAGAACTACAAACAAATCTTTTGAGGAGAAGAAAAAAAAAGATCTACATAAACTGAGTCGTAATTTGAATGAATATCGATCCAACCTCTAGTGGGAATGGATCATGAATGATATTTCATATAAAGAGGATTTTAACTCGGTTTCTTCTAAGCATAGAAAATAAAAAGAATGGAATTAATTTCCTAAAGAAATGGAGATAATTCAGATTTTATCGATTCAATAAACTATAATTAAAGGATATTTTATAGTTATTTAACGGCACTCACCATGAGAACCTAATTATCAAGATTTTTAATTTTTCATAGTATTTATATTATATAATTTTATAGGATTATTGAAGTTAAGATAAAACACTATAAGAGGGGCCGATCTTTAATTTTTTAATTATCTCTTAAAAAAATCAACAATTTTATTTAGAAATCAAGAATGGTACGTTATAATGTGAAGTATTTGAATAACGAAAATCATAATATTCAAGTTTGGAGAAATAGAATAAA